CCACCAGATGCTCTGTTGGAGAAAGAGGGGCAATCTCCTTTTGTACCAGTCAGATCCGATTTGATGGTACACACACAAAAAATAATAAATATTTAAAAAACCCAACCAAAAACCCCCCAAATGATTTGTATAAAGAGGAGCCCACATAGCACATAGGTTTAAGAGCTCAGTTGCTGACCAAAAGGTTGGAGACTTAAATCCACTTTAGAAGAAAGTTTGTTAATAGCCTGCTTCTGCAAAGAGTCCATCCTTGGAAACATTACAGGGCAGTTCTGCTCTCTCCTTAAGGGTAACAAGGAGTCAGAATTGACTTGGTACCAGTGGGTTGTGATTTTTTTGGAGGTTTTTTAAATTTAATATAAAATTTTTATTCTATAAAAATAAAAAAAAAATGGTTTACTTACAAAGTTCATATACATTGTTTTTCCAGCAGATCTTTCCCATTTCCTTTACCCACCCTGCCCTCCACCCATCAAGTTGTGTGACCCTATAATTACTCCCCCCACATACACACCTATCCTCAGCCAGTGGGGTATTTTATTATAGAAAACAAAACAATTTGAAACAACCAGAGAAATTTGATTAAGTATGAACTTAGTATTAGTTGATATTAAGGAATCACTGTTAATTTTGTTAAATGTGATAATGATGTCTTAGTATGCTTTTATGAACTCCGTATCTGCTAGAGCAGGGGTCAGTCAACTACAGGTTGTCATCTGGTTCAGTAAAATACAATGTTATTGGAACATGTTGTTGTATAGTGTCGTTGAAACCAGCCCGTAGCTGACTCTCCAATGGGTTTTCAGGGACAGAATGCTCATCTCTCTTCTGTGGAGAAGCTAATGGATTCAACCTATGTACCTTTGCTTCAGCAGCACAATTCTTTGACATTACCACTGGAATAACAGATGGTCTTACCCGAAACTCACTTTCATCCAGTGGATTCAACTCATAGCAGCCCTACTGGTGGCGAAGTCCACATGGATTCTCACTCTATCCTAGAGGTGGTGTTTCTCTGTTGATTTGAATCTACCAAGTGCACCTTGGGAGAAAGATGAGCAATCTCCTCCTGTACAATTTACAAACTCCAAGAACCTGCTGGAGGGTCAACTCTGACTTGGTTCCAATTTGACAGCAAAGCATTTGAGGCAGGGCTTCCAAAACACTAAATTCTTATAAGAGCCGACTGCGTTATAATTCTCCTGATGGAGAAGTTGAACTGCCTACCTTTTGGTTAACACTTGAATCTGTGCTACGAAGTCTCCTCAGTCTGATCCAGGAAGCCTAAAATATTCACTAATTCTTTTCAGAAACTATGTCAACCCTATGGGACCTTTCCAGAGTACTGAGAAGCAATGATATCAGTCTAGAGACTAAGGTATGCCTAATCCAAGCCGTGGTCTTTGCAATTACTTGCTATGCATCAGAGAGATGAATAAAAACTAAGGATGTCAGGAGGAGAATTGATGCCTTTGAGTGGTGGTGCTGGAGATGAGTCTTGGACATAACATGGACCACCCAAAAACCCCCCAAAAAACAAAAACAAAAAACACAAGCCAAAAACCAAAACAAAAAATCAAACCCAAAAAACCAAAACCACAACCAAATAAGTCTGTCTTGAAGAGGGTAAAACCAAGTCTCACTGAAGCTCCATCTCACATACTTTAGACACAAGGCCACGAAGGACCAATCCTTGGAGAAGGACATCATGCTCGGAATGGTAGAGGGACAGAGCGGGAAAGGAAGACCTTAGATGAAATGGACTGACATAGTAACTGCGGCAATGGGGGTGTGTTGTAGTCAGTGGGACTGGCTCAGGACAGGGCACTCATCAAAGCTGTTGTACAAAGGGTTGCTATAAGGGACTCGATGGCACATAACATGCTAAAAAGACATGTGTAAGTATTTAAAAGTGAAAGATATATGACTTGGAATTTTTTAAAAAATATTTTGGCAAAACAAAGTTGGTAGAAGATAGACTAAAGAAGACTGGGAAAATGGTGGAAATTCTTTTAATTGATGATAAAGAAATACACGGGTTTCATTAGCAATTGTCTTTACTTTTGTCCATATTTGAAAAACTCTATAGTTAGTTGTTAAAAATAAATTATCTTATGTATACTTAGTTTGCATGGAAGTCATAATATTAGTTCTGACTAATAATGCACATTAAGAAATGGAAGATTATTTGTTGAGAATCTATTTGTTTGACAATGTGGTAGATGCTTGACAATTGTTTTAAAAAAACTTTACAACCCCCTGAGCCATAACTTAGACAAAATTCAGGCAAAGGTTTAGAAACATTAATTTTTTTTTTAGTAGCCAAGTGTTTATTCAGACATTTCTACTGTCAGTGAGCAGAGCAAGCTCAAGAAACCATTATTTATAAATAATCAGACATAATAGAAACATTAATTTATACCTAGCTTGGAAGCAGGAGTGGCATCCACTTCCGAAATAGCTTGCGTCCGGAAACTCCATGAAATTTGAAAACGAATGAAAGTTATACGAGTGTTCAGGTCTTTCGTTCATAGGGTTGCTATGAGTTGTCTACGACTTGACAGCACTTAACAACAACAATTTATACCTAGAAAATACCAGATCAGGGATTTGACTGCAGCTGGGTCTCATTCATTGGGTCATTGCCATCAAAGGTATCATCCTCACCTGTTTGTCAAAGTCGGAAAATAAGTTGAAAAGTTTCAATAAAGGAAACCTTGGAGCTTTCAGCTGGGGAGTTGTTCAATCAACACTCTTTCAGCATTAAAGGTAATTTTGAGTTTCTTCTATTTGGTCTTTGTGTTGCCAAATTTACTTGTTATCAAGAATACTGTTTGATACCAAAACTCACCTACCTTCTTACATTTCTCTCTTACATTAGATTCAAAACTGCTAAAAAGACACTTCTGTACCTGTAACATCATGTAAGCACAGTTTTGGGAGCAGGCAGAGATGATCAACACAAGCTTATTGAATGATCAAGACTTTTCCTGTTCTCCCGTCCATCTTTCAAGGAGACAGGTCTGTCCCTTTGAGAATATAATTTTCTAATAAATCTATCTGCATAATTTTTCCCCAAAAAAACCCTTTCCTATCTCAGCCTCATCCTTCCACAGTGTCCATGCAGGAGGGACACTGAGGTGCACACAGATACAAACCTCCAGTTTCTAGGTAAGGATTCTTCTTAAGGCTAATTAAGTGCTCTCCCTGTAACTCAGGAGACAACTTATTTTTTGGGTTTTTTTCTGCTTTCCTGGTAATAGAGAAGACCAAATTTTTTTAAGGGGAACTCTGATGGCTTAAGTCTGTAGGGAGTTGTTTTTTCAATACAAAGGTCAGGCATCTCTGCATTTCTAATTCCCTGGGGAATCCTCAGGAGAAAGACAATCATGCTTTTGATTTACACTCTGGTAACCTGATGAAGGGTCACTTTGCACCACAATCAACTTCTTGCTGGAAGTGAGTTTCTTTCTTCCTTTTTTTTTTAAATTTTTTTGCATGTTTTCTTGATCTCTGAGATTTAGGGGAGGAGTTATGCTGTTGGAGCTGTTGTTTCACTTTTGAAGGCTAGTGCTGGAAGCCTTACAAGTTTGTTCTTGCCTTTACCAACTCTCTGCTGTCTTTGGCAACAGTTGCTTTTTGTTGTCTCAGAGATTTGAAATAAACAGGTGGAGTTAAGGGCAAAGTGGTAGTGATGGCTTCTGCCATGAGCTACTGAATTGATTTTTCTTTTTAAAAAAAATTTTTTTTTATTCTTTTAATGAAAATTTACAGAGACTTTGGATTTCCATTCCTTCATTGTTGCACTTTTCTCCCAGTTCACCCCTTCCACCCCAGTTCACTCTTGTCTTTGAAAAGTAAAAGAAAAATTCTTTCAATGTTATACAATCCCCCCAGGTCCACTCTACTATGCAGCCTTGTCGGCCTCTTCTCCCGCAGAGCAGCCGGGTAAGTCAGAACTTCAGCCTTTCAGTGGGCACTTGAGTGCTTAACCAAGAAAAGAATGTTAATCTCTTTCACTGACTTGGGGGGTGGGGGTGGGGGAGCATTTCATTATCTTAGGAAAATGCAGACTTCGAGTCTAGGAGAAGTCGCTGAAAGGTTGTTTGTTGGATGGTGGGGCGCAGATATTGCAGAATGTGAAGGAGTTGTAGTGCACCGTGAAATTGGAACAGACTCATAGCTTTCAAAGGCAGTAAATAACTAGAAAAGGCGATTGCCCGTCTTTCTCTTGTGGATTTGATTCACATGCTTTTGGGTTGCCAGCACAACTCCGTACCACTAGGCCACCAGAGCTCTGTCTATGTAAACAGAATAATTTGAATGTATCACTGAATTCAAGACAGCTAACTAAAGGCACTGCTTCTGGGGACACAAAAATCTCCTTACCTGCAGCGGCTGATACTGAGCCTTTGGATTCTTACCCCTGAGCAAAAATGCCAGCTCTGCCCTGTGTCAGAGCAGGGCAGTTTAATCAGTTTTCCAGTGTCCACAAGTCGATAACTGGAGTTCCAGTGAAATGGATGGACAAGACAGAAACACAGACACAGATGCGGTAAACTTTTAAAACATTTATTCCTGTCTAAAATATAACACATCTTCTGCAAAAATTACGAGTTAAATATAATTTAATAGCAATACAGTATTTAAAATATAATTGGGACAATTAAAAAAAAATCCTGCCATGAAAACAAGAGAGGGGAAAGGGGTCAGTAACCAAAAATAAATGAAATAGGAGCAGAATAAGTTTTACAGAGTATTCATTCTTCCTCTTAACCAGGTGGAAGCTCCCTGGAGCAGAAGGTAGTTATTGTCTTAAGAGTTCACATCTGATTCCTAAAAGACAGACTTTATTTAGTCCACACTGGGTGACCCATCTTCTAAATCTTCATCTAAATCTTCTCTTTCATGGAGTTCTTGGGAAAATGCAAACTTTCAAGATGGATGAAGTCACTGTCCAAGTGCAGCTGGACTTAAGTGTTGGAGTCCATAGGCCTCATTTAAAAATAGGTGCTCTGTTTGTCTGTGGTGTTGAGTTGCAAATATTCCAGGGTGCCTTTCTTGTAGCTGGGTATCTGCATTGGTTTTCGGCTTCTTACCCCTGCAGCCTGTCTCTTCTGTAGAGAGCTGGCAAGCATGTCTGAAAATTCTGCTTGCAAACGCTGTTGATTCTCTCTGGAAAGGGATGAGGAGGGAAAATGAAACTTCTCAATAGTTTATATTAGAATATGCCTTCAATTCAGTATGGCCAATTCTATTCACCAAATATTCACCAAACTCATAAGCCATTCTAGACACAGATAGACACAGACAGGAAGTACAGAGAAAATAGATCCCTTCCTTTGATGAGCTTATGATAGTCACTCCTGCTATTAAGGAGTTACAGAATGAGCAGAATATATTTCAAATGGAAAAGTCTATTTTAATTTGACAGGGAATCAACTTGCTGCTAGAATTAGAAGACATGACCAGAAGGGGGAAAATACACTAGGAGGATGCTAGGCTCCTACCACACGTAGCCCTGAAAATTTGTTGGTCCCACACATGCCTGGTGGAGTGGACTCAGAACAGTTTGATTGTTGCCAGAGTTTTGAATGAAATTATAGCACTGATGGTAAAGTCACTTAGGCCTCAAGAAAGAGCTAGGTTGTTTTGACAGCTGTAATGGACTGAATTGTGCCCTCTCCCAAATATATGTTGGACTCTTAACCTGTAGATATAGCCTTGTTTGGGAATAGGGTTTTCTCTGTTATCTTAATGAGCCATATTTATGTAAAGTATACTCAAACCTAAGTACTTATGAATTACAAGGAACAACATAGACATAGAGACAAGCACATAGATGCCACGTGAAGATTGTTAAGGATCTGCCCACTGAGCCGACAGAGCCCTTCCCTTATGTTATGAGTGTCACAAGGGTGACAAATAAATATGCAACTAAAACAATAAGCATGTGCTTTGGATTGTATGCTATGTGAATAGGAAAGACAAATTCATGTTTTATATAGAGAACATACAATCTAAAGCACATTCTTATTTTTGTGTATGTCTCCAGAGTACTGATGAGCAACGATGTCAGTCTGGAGACTAAGGTGAGCCTGATACAGGCCATGGCCTTTGCAATTACTTGCTATGCATCAGAGAGCTGAGTAATGACTAGGAACAATAGAAGGAGAATTGAAGCCTTTGAGCTGTGGTGCTGGAGAAGAGTACTAATATACCATAGACTGCCAGGAGAACAAGTAGTCTCATCCTAGAGAGGGTAAAACCAGGCTGCTCCTTGGAGGCAAGGATTCTCAAGTTTTGTCCGACATGCTTTGGACATAGTGCAAGGAGGGACCAGTCCTTGGAGAGGGACATTGTGGTTGGGAGGGTGGAGAGACGTGCAAGAGAAGAAGTCCCTCAATGAGATGGACTGGCTCAATGACTATAGTAATGGGGGTAGGTGTGTCAGAGACAATAAGATTGGTTCAGGTTAGGGCAGGGTGCAGAGCTGTTGTACAGAAGGTCACTATGGGTCGCAAGCAACTCAACAGCACATAATAACAACAGTAATTGGCTTGTAGTCCCCATAATACTCATAACACCTTAGAATCAATTTCAACATTTGGACTGCTAGCCAGCTGAACTGCGAGAAAATAAATTTCTGTCTTTTTTTTTTCAATGATTAATAGAAGATTTATTTAAACAATAATACACAGTCATCTCTGTCTCACTTAATATGAGATGTTAAATGGTCGTTCCCATTTTCCTTCCTGGATAAGTTTTTCTTTTCTATCTCTCTCGGTTTTGAAAACGTAGTACCAGAAGAAGAGGGTCCCAAGGCCAAACACAGCTCCTGTGAGAGCGAGCTTGGGAGTGGGCCTGAAACTGGGATATATATTTGCTGATCTTGCATATGTCCAACGAGTCAAGGCAGGATCTTCAATGATCGTCTTCCGGTTGGGGTCATTGAGCTGAAGCAGATACTCCCGTTTAAGCCGGGATCTAATGGCCAGCCGCTCGACTTGAGCCCGCTGGGTCTCTAGAGAGATGTTGTATTCGGCTGGGTCGAGGGTAGTAGGTAGAGTGGCCAGGCGCGATGGCTTGTACTTGGGGAACGACATCTTGGCGCCAGGGCCAAATTTCTGTCTTTTGAAGCCACCCCTTTGGGGTATTTCTGTGATAGCAGCTGTAGGAAGTTAAAATTGCATTTCTACATGCTTGCCATCTTTTTGGGCCCACATCTTTAGGTCTGTCAGGGTTTCTCTATCTTAGCAAAAAGCATAGCAGCAGCCACGTGGTTAGTTGTTGCACCGCCAACCAATGGGCAACTGAGTAACTATTTGAGTCACCTTAAGAACTGAAATGTGTTGGATGGGAAACCTTGCTTTCTTCATCTCCGGGAGAATGAAAACTTGGTAACTTGGTGTGAAGACCTGGAACTGCTGTCCTGGGGGTGGGAGGCCTTGTTTTGCATTGTGTGAAAGCAGGGCTGGAAACGCAGAGAGGCTCTTTGTTTCCAGATGCTGCCTCTAATCAGAAGCAAAATGCACTCCCTTTACCCTCTGGCGGAGAGTATATAATCAGAGGAAGTTGGTATGCATGTCCTTAGAGCAATCTAAGCACACAGCCTTAAATTCATTTAGAAAGTTTTGACATGGATGTGGAATCCATGTAGGATTGTCAGAAAAGTTATCTTTCCAAACAGCAATCTGTGCTGTTAATCTGGTGCTGACTGGCCAAATACCCTAAAAATAACATTCCTTTCCTCAGAGGTCTGATAGGTGTAGGATATAATCTATTCACAAAGGGTATTTTGTTGTTGTTGTTGTTATCATTAAACAGATCTGAGCTTGTGCCTAACAGGTCTTGGTAAACAGCATTCTCAATGGATCTTTCTACTGGAGCCTCAGAAACACACAATTGAGGAAGAAATTTCACTAATAGGCTACTTTCTGGCCGTTCTTCAGTGTCTACCCTGCAATAAACAAAATCTTTGCAATATCTTGTAATCCCACTGTATTATGTGTGTTGTGGGCCTATTACTACCAAATGGTTACTTCCAGATATCCTGATCATCTTCCATCATGACTTTTAAAACCATTAGTTCCTTTCTAACAGTACAGGATGTATCCCTTTCCTTGGTCTGGTTGAGAAGTCATTTTCACTCGGTGACAATGGACATTTCTTCGGTCTGGACCATCCCTATCACTTAATAAACTTCCTTTGCTTTTATGTAAGCAGACTCTGTGATGCCATTCTAGGACATCATTCCATGAATTCTAATTCACATATTTGTTGTTGCTATGTGCTTTCAAGTTGGAACTGACTCATAGCAGGTTGTCAGAGGCAGTACATCCCACTAGAGGAGACTGGCCATCTTTCAGAGCAGCTGGTTGATCCAAGCCGTCAGCCTTTGGATTGGCAACACAGGTCCTCACCGCTAGGCCACCAGAGCTTCCTATAGGACTAAGTAGAACTGCCCTATAGGGTTTCCAAGACTGCAGTATCTGTGGAAGGGGCTCGGGAGGTGACCATCTATCTCTAGCAGTTTGAACCCCCCAGCTAGTCTAAGGGACAAAGATGAACAGTCTCCTTCTGTTAAGATTTATAGCCTCAAAAACCCAGTGAAAGGTCACTATGTGTCAGAACGGACTCTATAGCAGTGAGTTTAAGTGAGAATCATTATGAAAGCAGATTGCTACATCTTCTTCTTGTGGAATGGCTAATAGGTTTGAACCCACCCCAGCTGAGGGTTTAACCGCTGTGTCAACAGGGCACCTTCCACATGCATTGGCGTTCTCTTCAGAACGAGTTGGGAACACCTAGTTTTTAGCAGCTAGAGAAGGGAGGGAGGTTTGTAAAGTTTCATCTGGGGGCACAGCCCCTTACCTGACATTCAGTAAAGCATTGACATCTGGAAAGCACATCCCAACAGTTAGTTGTATGTAGGACAACTTACAAAGCTCAAACTGGCAGCATCCCTCTCCCTCCCTGCCGTGTGCATCTGCTTACACAGTTGGAGGGGTCGGCAGATTGTACTCCTGGTCCTTCATCCCAGTCAGCCAGTATGTGGTCTCAGTTCCTCGTCCCTAGTGGACAAAAAAAATGTATGCGTGAGGGACCCATATGAGGCAAGCGGTGTAGCCTGCTGTTTACACACTTTTCGCCTTAGACATTTCTTCTTCAGATTTTTTGCCATTCTTATGATTTGCCTTATCTCTAGATAGATCTTTATTTCCACATGCTGTTTCAAAAACAAATCTCTCATTCTACATGCTGATTTTTACATTTCACCTCAAGACATTTAAAGAATATCACCATAGCAAAAATTATCCCTATAGCAAGAACTCTATTAAATTATAGAAGATGAACATTTACCTACAGTACTGATATGCCAGAACACTTGATTGTGCTTATGTGAGACCTATACTTGGACCAGGATGCAGTCATCAGAAAAGAGCAAAGAAACACTGCATGGTTTAAAATTGAGAAGGGTGTGCACCAAAAATGTGTCCTATCTCCATACCTTTTCATTCTACATACAGAACAGATTATCCGGAAGGCTGGGCTGTATGAGGAGAAATGTGGCATACGCATTGGAGGAAGACTCATCAATAATCTGTGTTATACAGATGACACAACCCTGCTTGCTGAAACAGACGAGGCTCTGAAGTGCTTGTTGCAGAAAATCAAGGACTGCAGCTTTCAATAGGGATTGAAGCTCAACATCAAGAAAACAAAGATTCTCCTCACTGGGCCAATTGGCAGCATCATGATAGATGGTGAAGACATTGATATTTTTAACAGCATTAGTTTACTTGGCTCCACAATCAACACTCTTGGTACCAGCAGCCAGGAAATTAAAAAATGAATTGCATTGGGAAAGTCTGCTGTTAGAGACCTTTCCAAAGTACTGATGAGTAACAATATCAGTCTGGAGACTAAGGTGCACCTGATCCAGACCATGTTGTTGTTGTTGTTGTGTGCCATTGAGTTGTTTGTGACTCACAGTGACCTTTGCATTTACTTGCTATGCATCAGAAAGCTGGATAATGACTGGGGATAATAGAAGGAGAATTGATGCCTTTGAGCTGTGGTGTTTGAGAAGAGTATTGAATATACCATGGACTGCTAGGAGAACAAACAGGTTTATCCTAGAGAGGGTAAAACCAGGTTGCTTCTGGGAGGCAATCTGACATATTTTGGATATGATGCAAGGAGGGACCACTCCTTGGAAAGGGATGTCATGCATGGGAGGGTGGAGGGACAGTGCAAGGGAAAGAGAGGAAGACCCTTGATGAGGTGGATTGATTCAGTGACTGGGGAAATGGGCATAGGTGTGTCAAAGACAGATTGGCACAGGACAGAGCAGGGGTTAGGGCTGTTGTAGACAGGGTTGCTATGAGTCGCAAGCAACTCAATGGCATATAACAATAACAATAACAACAACAACCATAACTGACATGCCAACAAACCTTACTGGTTTTATTAGCCACCATTTCTTCTAGACCATTCTTTTTTGCCACTGTTTCTTTAAGTGTGTAAACTATAAACATATATGCATTATAGTAAGCACTAAACGATCTTTGTCGAATCCCATCTGGAGGCTATAAAATAAGTAGAAATTTTCTGGAAATTCTATTTGTGCTATAGTTTGTATTTGAAAAGGAGACTGGATGGTTTGGTTTTGTTTTGTTTTATGGTTTTGTTTTGTTTTTTTTATATCCTCACTTAAAACAAAGCAAAGCAAAACACAAAACCCAACAGTGGTTTGCTTTCCCATCCCAGATACATTGAATCAGAATCTACACCTTAACATCTGAGGATCTGTAAGAATCACCTGGAATCTTGTTAAAATTTAGATTCTGATCCATTAGATCTAAGGCAAATTCTTCATGGAGGTGGGGAATGGGGTTAGGATGATGGGTGTCTAACTGGAATGAACTGGTTTGGAGCCCTGCTTCAGACCAGTTAGGAAAAGAGTATAAAGACTATGAAAAGCAACCTGAGTGATAATTAGCAGCATTTGGGTGAGTCTGGAGGCAGTTGCTCTAAGTTTATGAACTGCATGGCCACTTTAGAGTCATGATTCACTCAGTGCACATCACAATCAGTTGAAATGCTTGTTTAAACTGCAGATCCAGATCTACTATCACAGAACATTTTTGTTAGTAGGCTTGGTGGAAGTCTCAAGTCTCTGGATGATATAAACAGTTATGGTACTTGACTGCTAACACAAAGGTTTGCGGTTTAAGTCCACCCAGAGGTGCCTCAGAAGAAAGGCCTGGTGATCGTCTGAAAAAACAGCCATTAGGAGTTCTGGATAACAGTTCTACGCTGACATGTAAGGTCACCATGAGTTGGAGTTGACTCCACTGTAACTGGTTTAACTGACTGGTAAGTCTAGGTATCTTCATTTTAACAAGTGCCCTTATTGTGTTGTGCCTGGAATCTGGCACCATACCTCAGAGGTTCAGAACGGTGAAGAGAGGCGACCTTAGAGAGACAGCATCTTATAGGAAAGCAGAGAAGAAGGCTTGTTGGACTTAAGGTAAATCCTGGATGGGTTTACAGCTCTCTGGTTTGAGGAACTGGAAATAAAACTTGGATATGCATGGAGAAAATGTAACAGCATCTTATCACCCATTGGTCGTAGTTAAAAATATCAAAAGGGCTCTGTGGAGGCCTTTATTTCATGGTGGCTTCTCCCAGAGGGGACATGAGTCATCACTGTGGGGCACATAGAAAAAAGATTCCTTGTTTTCACGCTTCTCAACTTCACCAGTCAAGGATGTCCACCTAGTGTCTGTTCTCAGGGAAGATGGCACACATTCTGTCAGAATCTCTCTGTGTCCTGCCTCGGTAGCTCCTTACCTTTAAGTAGGTTTCCCCTCTCACTTCATACAGAAACTGGCACTCGGTTCTCTTCAGGATGGCTATAGTGGAGCCACTCACATGAATTCTTAAAGCTGAAAATGCAAAACAGATAAATAAAAATTGTGTCCATATTGAAATCTGTCAGAGAGTCTCCTTCACATTGATTCAGGATTCCTGTTTTAGATTTTCTTGATATCTTAATTACATTAATGGACGAACACTTATAGTAATATTAAAGAGGAATATTATCACAAATGGGAAGAACGAGGTTCTGGCACTGGTTTTCAGAGTGCAGAATATAGGGGCGCCTCTGCTTGTGCTTCACAGATTCTCTTTTCAGCTCAGAATGGTAGCCTCTGACACTTGACTTTGATTTAGCTCATGGGAGTGAAATAGAGATTTTGGTTATGGGTCCCAATGTGAAAGATTCAGGTAGTAGCTGTAGTGTTGGGGGCGGGGTGGGCGGAAGTAAATATTCAGCAGAATTGTTTTCAAATTTCACTCTGCAAGGGTACTGCTCTCCTTCTGGTGAGGACATTTCCATTCATATGGGAGGCCCATTGTGGTGGAGAATCTTTCCCACAATGGGTACCTAGTAGCCATGCCACAAAGAGAAGTAATAGTAAGAATAAAGGCAACCTCACAAAGTACATCTGCCAAATGCTTTACAGACAACAAGTCCTTCCAAAAATCCTCCCAGTAAGGTTGGCACATCTCATTCTCAATTTATATTTCATCCTTCTGAGATCAAGAAAGATAAGGGAACTTTCCTTCCTAATTATACAGCAAATTATTTGCATAGGTAGGACTCAATCTAAGTCTCTGGCTCTAATTTTATTCTTTATAACCACTGTTTTTTTTCAATACAAACCAAATTATGCTATATATTGTTCATCCACTACATGTAGTAGTAGATATTGTCAGATAAAGATAATATAGGCTTTTGTGCACAATACATATTTAGGGTTTTTGTTTCTTTTCTTTAGAGAAACTCATTTCTTGGAAAACAAAATAAAAAGAAACTAGGAAACTGAACCAGACGTGCACACCATACTTTGCTTACTGATTTTTTAAATGCTGCGTTTATCTGTGCTAAGTGCCATGATTATTTCTGAAAGACATGAATGTATTACAAATGAACCAAGGGTAATAGTCACAGTCTAAAACTGAGAAAAGCAGGAAGAATAAAATAATTATCAGTAAATAACAAGAGTAAATGATGTGATTGGCACAGGATTACTTTTTGCCAATATGAAGGACTATTCTGTATTTTGCTGTCCTTTGTAGTTCTTTACTACACATTTTATCTTACAGCGCCCTTCTGCTGGGAGACAAATCTTTGTCCCAAAAGAGCAACACAAGTCACTCTTACGAAGGCCAGTTGATTCCATCCTGGAGGCTGTGTTGACAGTATCTCCAAACAGGCAATAACGAGGCATCTTGATCCCCACAACTCCTGCAGCACAGGGACCTGAAATGGAAAATGGAGTAGAAAGTGGGGATAGTGGAAGCTGTAGAGCGGATTTGATAAAATGGAAATGTGTCTTCTCAGGCTTGAAATGTTGAAAACATGATGTAGAGAAATACCAAGAGTGTGAATTCTGAACTATTTGCTTTAAATGGATATTATCAGTTCCTTTGCACTAAACATGAAGGCAGTTTCCTGGGTCATAGAACTGGTAAGTCTATTGTACTTTGATTTCTTTCTGTATTCTGTCCTCTGGACCTTATGACAGGCTTAACCAAAAAGTCAGCCATTGCTGTTGAGTCAATACCAGCTCATAATGATCCTATTGGGTTGAGTAGAACTTGCTCATAAGGCTTCCAAGGCAGTAGTCTTTACATAAGTTGTTGTTAGCTGACATTGAGTTGACTACCTCTCATAGCCACCCTATGAACAACACACTGGATCCCTGCCCCGTCCTGTGCCATCCACATCATCTTGGATGTGCTTGAGCCCATTGTTACAGTCGTTGTGTCAGTCCATCGATTTGAGGGTCATCCTCTTTTTCTCTGAGAAAAGCAGACTATCTTTTCTGTAAATAGACTGTCATACATGTCTCTTGTGGAGTAGCTGGTAGTTTCAAACCACCAGCCTTTCAGGTAGCAGTTACTCGCTTAACTGCACCATCAGAGCTCCTCTGTCAAGTTTAAAGGGTAGGAAAAGGATCAATGTCAACAAACTATAGAGGGATATGATTTCATTTAACCCAAGGAAAATGTTTTAGAAATTACAGGCTCACTCTATTGTTACCATTGAGTCAAAACAGACTTATCACTGACTCTCCAGTGAGTTTTCAGAGGCTGTAAGTCACATGGGAGGAGATGGCTAATCTTTCTCCTGTGGAACAGTTGGTGGATTTGAACCTCCTACCCTTGAATTGGCAGCATGACTTTCTTTCTATTAGGCCACCAGAACTCAGAAAGGGCACGCATTCAATAAAAGAGGGAGGTATTTTGGGAAATAATGAGATTTTTTAATTAATCTTGAGATTCTGAAAGTGGCTATTTTAATTACTTACTTTGGGAGACACATTGACAAGTTTTACCTCCGTAGACTTAATCTAAATTACTTTGGAGTTTCCCTCCAACTGTATGTTTCAATGATATTTGTAAATCATTGCCTCAAATATTCTACTAAAAACGAGACAACTTTCATGATGTTTAAAATGAACTGGGTACCTTCTGATGTTAGAAGGGAAAAAGATAGTAGACAGTATAAATGTCCTTTTATTATAGGAATTTGACTAGCCACTGCTGCTCTTCTCCCACCCTTCCTGTAGGATCTAATCCTCATAAACTATCATAATATTTCAGTGTAAAAAAAATTCAGAGTCAAAAGAGGGAAGTGGTTGTAATGAGGAGTCAATACAAATGAAATAGTAAACATAGTATTCAAATAGAAAGCACAGAGCATTTTGCTTCAGAAATTGATCAGTGTTTCTATTTAAGGAGTCAAAGATAATCAACCAAGAGTTAAATCCTGTTAAATCCTATTTCCTGCAGTTCTGTAGTGTAGGCTAAATATGGCAGGATATGTAATGTTGTTGTTGTTGTTATGTGCCATCGAGTCGCTTGCGACTCATAGCGACCCTATGGAATAGGACCCCATAATTAGTAGACAGGATTCAAAAGCAAACCTCATGTGAAAAGCATCACATCTGAAGATCTTTCCTCCTTCTTAATTTAGTTGTTACACTCCCTAAGATGTTTGGTTCCATACCAGAGTGAACACCAATACGGATCCATATTGGCAAGCCAGGAAGATGCTCCAGCTGGAATGTTCCCATGAAGCTGAGGATATCCAAGGCCATCTTGGCAATGTCGATTGCATGCCGGTTCCCATTCCTTTTAGGCAAACCACTTGCCACCATGTAGGCATCACCAATGGTCTCCACCTAAAAATAGTATCTCATCAATGGATCAGCCCCTTTGAAAAGTATAGAAACTAAATAGAAGTAACTAGTCCCATATCAAATGTCAAAGTTTACTAGAACCTTAATATGAGCATATAAATGTACACCTTTTTTAGTGGCCAATTCTAGTTCTGTGCTGATTACCTAATGGTTTTTATAGTCTGCATAAATGAGTAATAGAACAGCTATAAAAATTTAATCACATAAGAGTACTTGGTAATAATATAAATCATCTAGTTGTAGAGACAATTCCTCTTGGGTAAAAACACTGGTATTTTCTAATGATTGTCATTGCTTTCTTACATTTCTCTAAGAACACTCTTAATGACCAGAAAAGTCATCTTTAGTATTCATTATTTTCCACATTACTCCTATTCCTCACTTAATAACTATCTTGTTATCCCAAATTTTACTTTTATGATTTGTTGTTGTTGTTGTTATATGCCATCGAGTTGCTTGCAACTCATTAGCAACCCTATGTATTGTCTCCAAAACACCTACTTCCACTATCCCAATTACTAAATTGATCCATCTCATCGAGGGTCTTCCTCTCCTGCGCTGTCCCTCCACCTTCTCCAAGGACTGGTCCCTCCTTGCAACACGCCCAAAGTATGTCAGACAAAGCTTCAGAATCCTTGACTCCAACGAGCAGCCTGGCTTCACCCTCTCCAGGATAAACCTGTTTGTTTTCCCAGCAGTCCATGGTATATTCAACACCCTTCTGAAAAAATTCTTAAGCAGTGTGTTCAGTGGCCTGGGAGCCAGGAAGGGCCACAGCTGGACCCAAAGTAGCCTCTGTTTACCAGCTTAGATGATACGCATGAGTGATGAATGAACCCCAAATGATCAATTGTGGGCAATAGGCCATGGGATGCCTTCTATTCATCTTCCATTTGACCCAACCATGGAAGGTGTGGGGTGATAGCATGAAGAGACCAGGGAAGACCAAAGGTACTGAGGGGGTTGGTGGGAGTAGCAATATAGAGGAGAGGAGGAAAGGAGCTATGTGAGGCTGTGGGCAGAGGACAAGCAGGGTCGCTGCCCAAGATGGAAGGTGCAGGCAGTGGATAAACACCTCGCCACCATCTCATCAAACCCCCAAAGCCATGGGGAAACTATAAATAGGGGATAGGAGGCCTCCACCATGCTACACCATTCTGAGATGTACCAGGGGTTCTCAAGGGGCTGTGAGCAGTATGGAGAGGAGACACCAGCACTGACTCTAGTGTCACGCCAGCTTTGTTTAACAATTGGTCTTTGGAACCAATCTGTATAATGAGTGAGGATCAGGTATAATTTTACTTACATAATCAAATACTTATTTGATTATGTATCTATTGGTTGGTTAACTTTCCCCCCAATTTTCTCTAAAATGTTATTAATTTTTTATTTAAAAGAACTGTGAATAATAAGGCCCACACATTAATACTAAGGAAGATGACTGGACTAAGCTGAACCATAAAAGAGAAGCCTTTTCTGAGGCTTCCTATTAACAGGCATCTTTATTTCAGTGGCGTCTAACTTTAAGGAGACATCTAAACTTTAAGGATTATAGTGTTTCAGGGATATAGTCTATCTCAATAAGCTTCACAATAATTTTTTAATTAGGCTATATTGTCATATTGTTTTAACAATCAAATAGACGTGGTGGTGTTAGAAATATTTAATGAGATGATGCAAAATTGGCATTTAGATATAGATCTCTAAGTTACTTGTTATATATGCTCTACTGATTTCCCAATATGGTATCAGGTATTCTTAACTGTATTTGGTCACCACCCCAGTCAGAGAATAGATCTAGTTCTAAATGTTTAGAATGCTTTTCCTTGTCTGATTCAAGTCCTTTGACTTGTGTTGACAATCTTATTTCAGCAACAAAAATATAAAATATTAACTGACTCCTGTTCTCTTTATTGTACCTCTATTGTCTTCATTCCTTCATTTATAAGTGGCCAAAATATTCTCTGTTTTTCTTTTTAGATGAGTTGAAAGTATGCTATTTTCTCTAGGTGTACTACCCCAAACTCCTTCTAGCTAAATTTTGTTATTTCTTCTCTACTGCTCTTAATGTTACATAGCTATTTTGACTTATGAACTCTATTTTCCCACTTCTTTGCCCTTTTAGGTTGGATTCAAATACTGAGTCATCAAAGCCTCCATTAGAGAGGACACATGAGGAACAACTCATCTTAGCTCTGATGATCCAGGGCCTTACAGCTGTTTTAGCTCTATTAGGTGAAGTGTTTACCTTGTAGACATCATGGTGATCAAGGATGTGGTCAAAACTCTTATAGATGTCGTTAAGCATGTCTACCACTTCCATGGGGGTGCTGTACTTGCAGATAGTGGTGAAACCTACAATGTCACTGAAGTAGATTGTAACTTCCTCATATAGTTCGGGCTCCACAATGCCTTTCTCCTTCAGAGATTTTACAACTAGCCTAGAAGGGAAATGAAAAAGGCACCTTAAACGTTAGTAAATATTTTCTTTCCTTGCATGAACCTTTAAAACCAACTGTAATTGTTCACCAGAATTTAGAAGCAAAGGTAGGTTGCAGTTACAGGTATATAATATGTGCTCAGATATATAATATATGTATTTTAACACAGATGACTATAAGAAGACTCACATAAAAACTAAGTTATCTTAGTATTGGATTATTAATCCTAACACAATCACGTGCAACTGTAATATACACAAAACTCTTACATATATGCTCTAGCCCAGTTTTTACTTTGCTGCTCATAATCCGATTATTATAGACTATTCCTACATCTGAGACTTGGGAAGAAAATTGTGTAATTTCTGTAAGAGCTTGAATCACTATAGGTGTAACATTATCTCACAAGAGTCAATATATTACTTCCCCGGAAGATTTAATATAACATTAATTAGGATTACTGTGAAGACATAATGCCTTTGCAATTTAATTTTAATATGTTCATAACCAGATTTGGTTCCTTTATTTGTATTTCTTTTTTCCCCCTTTTATTATATATATTATGTGTGTGTGCCATTGAATCAGCTCTGACTGGTACAGGAGATTTGGTTCCTTTGAAAAAAACTACTTCAATCACTAAGGAACAAGCTAAAAATGATGCAAAGACTGATAAAAAGTGGGTAAAACTGGTCAAGTGTATAATTCCACCCATTGCCACTGTATTGGTTCTGACTATAGGACAGAGTAGAATTCTCCTTAGAGTTCTCGAGGCTGTAAATTTTTAGAAAGGACATTGCCTCATCTTTTCTTCTGGGGAGAGGTTGTTGCCATTTTTGGGTACTATTGAGCTGGAACTGACTCAGAGTTGACCCTCCAGGGGGTTTTCAGAGGCAGTAAACCACATGGGTAGAGATGGCCCATCTTTCGCTCACAGAGTGGATGGTGGAGGATTCAAACCCTTGATCTTTCGGTTAGGAGCCCAATGCTTAATCAGCTGTACCACTGGAGCTCAGCAAGTGCACACATATCTATTCCAAAACCAAGTCCCCTGTTTTTGAAGAACAAAATTCAAACTCACAGCCCTACAATCTGTTCCCACTCATAGCTGCCCTCCATCAGTTTTCCAAGGCTGTGAATTTTTACAGAAGTAAACTATTGCATCTTTTTCCCCCCCTCAGAGGACTCAGTGGATTCAAACTGCAGATGATTTAACAGATGAGCAGTTTAATCACTGCGTCTTGGGGCTCCTGATAAAAATTTCAGTGTTATACGTTTATTACAATTATATAGACTATAGAGGAAGTGCTGGTGTCATAGTCCTTAGCAAGTTGTGCGCTAACCCTGTGGCTGCATATCTCCAGGAGTTTGAATCTAACTGAAGCTCCAGGGAGAAAGATGGGAAATCTTCCTCTGTGCAATTCACAGCCTCAGAAACCCACTGGAGAGTCTGCTATGAGTGGTACAAACTCGAGAGCAATGAGATATATTTATAGCTATATATTTACATGAACACGGGTAAGTATTCTGAGGTTACCATTCTTAATGTTAGCCATACTTTGTTGTGATCCACATAGTCAAATGCCTTTGCATAAAGAAGAAAACACAAATAAGTATTTCTCTGGTATTCTCTACTTTCATCCAAAATCCATCTAACATCAGCACTGAGATCCCTTCTTTCACAGCCTCTTTGGAACCCTGTTTGAATTTCTGACAGTTTCCTGTTAATATACAGTTCCAGTTGTTTCTGAATAATTCTCAGTAAGATTTTACTTGCAGGTGATAATAATAGTATTATTTGATAATTTCCACATTCTGTTGGATCACCTTTTTTTGGGAATGGGAACAAATATGGATCTCTTCCAATCAGTTGGCCAGATAGCTGTCCTCCAAATTTCTCAGCTTAGGCTAATGAGCACATCAAGGGCTACGTCTATTTGAAACATGTCAACTGATATTCCATCAATTCCTTGGGCTTCCCCAGCCCCCGATTCCTTCAGAGCAGCTTGGACTTCTTCCTTTATTACTATTGGTTTTGTTGTTGTTGTTGTTGTTGTTCTTGAACATATTCTAATTCCTGAAATGATTCAGTGTCAGTCAATTCTTGTTGGTACAGTAACTCTATGTATTCCTTCCATCTTCTTTTTATGTTTCCTGGATTATCCAAGATTTTGCTCACAGCACATTTAAGTATTCCAACTCAATGTTTGTAATTGTTCTTCAGCTTAAGAAATGCTGAATGAGGATGTGAGGGCGATCTGGCTGCAACATCTGTTACCCCATTGATCACCAGGATTGATTCAGCTGATCTGGCTGGCTAGGTGGGTGTCCCCTTCCTCCCTCACCGATCCATGTGCGTCCCTCCTGAAGCTGCGTGCTCGGTCGAAGAGGATGACCATTCCCGATAGAAGGAAGACCGTCCTTCAGTCAAGGGTATAAGAGTAGCTGCGCTCCCCTGCTAGAACCTCCAAACAAGCTCTCAAGAAATGCTGAATGAGTTCTTCCATTTCAATTTTCTGACTCTAGCTCTAAAAACATTTCATTATAATATTTTGTCTTCACAAGCTGCCCTTTGAAATCTTCTGTTTAGCTCTTTAACATCCTCATTTCGTCCCTTTGTTTTGGCTTCTCAGTGTTCTAGTGCACTATTCAGTCTCTCCTAACATCCATCATGGTATTTTCTTCCTCCTCTGTCTTTGTAATGACTTTTTGTTTTCTTTATTCTGTCTTTGTTCATTAGTGTTGAATGCCTCAAGCCTGTTCTTGAGATGGTTTTTAAATTCAGATGGGATAGACTCAGGTAATATTTTGGTTCTCATGGATATATAGTCATTTTCTCTAGCTCCAATCTGCACATGAGTACTTGATGATCCATTCCATAGTCAGCACCTGACCTGGTTTTCAAAGCTGGTACTGAGCTTCTCTAATGATTTTTAAGGCACTTTTATGGTTTAGTGGCAGGAAGCTGCACTGAAATCCCAAGCATGCATTTCGAGGGCACCAACTGCTCCACGGGAGAAGGATGGGAAGTCTCCTCCCATACAATTAACTGACTCTGAAAACCCACCTGAGGGATAGCTGTGGTTCAGTTCTGACTCTACAGTACACAACAACAACACAACAATGATTCTTTGCACAGACTTAACCAATCTGATTACTGTTTAGTCCATCAGGTGAGGTCCATGTGTATAATCACCATGTGTGTATTTTATAAAAGCTATTTGCAATAAATCAATCATTGATTGTACAAAATTCTATCATTCGATCTCCAGCTTAATTTCTGTCTCTAAGCTCATATTTTCTGATTATTGATCCAAGCCATTCTCTTTTCAATTACTTCCTAAGCACTTAAAGTTGGGTAATAGCTAAGGATGATAGAAGAAGAACCGATGCCTTTGAGTTGTGGTGTGGAAGAAGAGTGCTGAATATCCCATAGATTGCCAGGAGAACAATCAAGTCTGTCTGGGAGGATGTGAAAAGCCAGGTTACTCCTGAGAAGCAAGGACTGTGAAACTTTGTCTCACATACTTTGATCATGTTGCTAGTCCTTGGGAAAAAGACATAGTACAGGGGAAAGTGGAAGTCAGCAAAAGAGTGGAGACCCTCAAAGAGCTGGATTGACACAGTGACTGTCTACTGGGCTGGAGCGTATCAGAGATAGAGAGTATGCACAAGATTCAGATTTGTCATCCAAAGGATTCCCATAAATCATAATCTATTCATTGGTACCTAACAATGACAGCAAAATAGATCTCCATAGATATACCTTATCTGTTGAACACATATGCATACACAGGTTATCAGACCCAGAAAAGAGAAACAGTAACTCTGTATGCACTTATTCTGTATTTCTCTTCATTGAGAAAAGGGGATGGACGTAAACATGTGGCTGGAGGATCTTCTGTCTTCCCCTCTGAAATCAGAACTCCTGGAGCTGGAACCTGAAAGCTGAGAGGTGTCATAAAGGAACTTGAGAATAAAACCTTTGTATTTACAGATGTGAAAGAGAAACTCAGAAGAGGAAGGGTGGGTTTTCATAGTCTTACAGCCACCTTTAAAGGGTGGAGCTAGAACCAGCACTCAGTTGCTACATCTTCCCTTTCGTTTACTCACTTCCTCCACACCCAGACCCTAGGCATGCAAGAGGATCTTAGAGGTAGCTTTAGGTTTGTGGTGTTTGTACAAAAAGATGACTGACTGTCAGGCACTCTTCCCAGAAAGCAGTCAACCAACCACAAGGAATCACAAAGCTCAGAGAACCTCCAAAGCACGCATGGAAGTTAGTAAAAAACCTTGGAATCTTTTAAAAACAGTCTTTGGTGCAGCTCTTTGGACTCTCTGGAGCATTTGGGGAGGGGAGGGTGGTACTCAGCTAAAGGGTGTATAAACATAGAGTCTTTTGGAGGTTGCATAGATGAAATAGTTGTGGTTGTTGTTATGTGCCAGCGAGTCTCTTGTGACTCAAGCGACCCTATGTACAACAGTCCTAAACTCTGCTCTGTCCTGTGCCAATCGCACTGTCTCTGACACACCCATCCCGATTATCGCAGTTACTGAATCAATCCACCTCATAGAGGGCCTTCCCCTCCTGCGCTGTCCCTCCACCCTCCCAAGCATGATGTCCTTCTCCAAGGACCGGTCTCTCCTCACAACATGTACAAAGTATGTTAGACGGAGCCTCAGAATACTTGCCTCCAAGGAGCCACCCGGTTTAACCCTTTCCAGGATGAATCTGTTTGTTTTTCTAGCAGTCCATGGTATTCTCAATACTCTTCTCCAGCAGCACCACAGCTCAAAGGCATCAATTCTCCTTCTATCCTCCTTGGTCATTGTCCAACTCTCTGATGCATAACAAGTGATTGTGAAGACCATGGCCTCTATCAGACACACCTTAGTCTCCAGAGAGACACCATTGCTCTTCAGTACTTTGGAGAAGTCCCTAACAGCAGACTTTCCCATAGCAATGTGCCTTTTAATTTCCTGGCTACTGGTGCCAAGAGTGT